AATACACGACACTGCGTAGTGTGACTCAAGCTACTGAAGTATGGTATGACCCGGATCCTATGACTACTCTTATAGAAGAGGATGTTGATTTTGTCAAATCATACTATGAAATGCCAGATGAAGAAATTGACCCAGATAAGATATCTCCTTGGCTACTGCGTATCGAGTTAAATCGGGAGATGATGGTTGATAAGAAGTTGAGCATGGCTGATATTGCTGAGAAGATTAATCTCGAGTTTGATGATGATTTAACCTGTATATTCAATGATGACAATGCTGAGAAGTTGATTCTGCGAATACGTATCATGAATGATGAGGCCCCCAAAGGCGAGTTACAAGATGAATCTGCTGAAGATGACGTCTTCCTCAAGAAAATCGAAAGTAATATGCTGACAGAAATGGCCCTACGTGGCATTCCTGATATTAACAAGGTGTTCATTAAATCAGGCAAAGTTAACAAATTCGATGAGAATGAAGGATTCAAGCCAGAAGTTGAATGGATGCTTGATACTGAAGGTGTAAATCTGTTGGCTGTTATGACACATGAGGATGTTGATGCCTTGAGAACAACTAGTAATCATTTGATTGAGGTGATTGAAGTTCTTGGGATAGAAGCTGTTCGGAGGTCCTTGCTGGACGAGCTTCGAGTGGTCATTTCTTTTGATGGTTCCTATGTAAATTATAGGCATTTGGCTATATTATGTGATACCATGACCTATCGTGGTCACCTTATGGCCATAACACGTCATGGGATCAATAGGAATGACACAGGGCCAATGATGAGATGCTCATTTGAGGAAACGGTCGACATTCTTCTTGACGCTGCTGTGTATGCAGAGACAGATTACCTTCGAGGAGTTACTGAAAATATAATGTTAGGCCAGCTTGCTCCTATAGGCACAGGAGATTGTGCTCTGTATTTGAACGAGCAAATGCTACAGCAAGCTATTGACGTTCAGCTCCCAAGTTATATGGATGGTCTTGACATTGGAATGACACCTGGCCGCTCTCCAATTACTCCTTTCCATGATGGTGCAATGTCTCCCACTAATTATCTGCTGAGCCCAAATCTACGATTGTCACCGATTAATGATGCACAATTTTCACCTTATGTTGGTGGGATGGGCTTTTCTCCGGCATCGTCACCTGGGTACAGTCCGTCTTCTCCAGGATACAGCCCTTCATCTCCTGGCTATAGCCCTACCTCACCCGGCTATAGCCCGACCTCTCCTGGATATAGTCCTACATCACCTGGTTATAGTCCGACCTCGCCAACATACAGTCCAAGTTCGCCTGGTTATAGTCCAACCAGTCCTACCTACTCCCCCACCTCTCCCAGCTACTCCCCCACATCTCCCAGCTACTCCCCCACATCTCCCAGCTACTCCCCAACCTCTCCGAGTTACTCACCCACATCGCCTAGTTACAGCCCAACGTCTCCTGCCTACAGCCCCACCTCACCAGCATACAGCCCCACCTCGCCAGCATACAGCCCCACCTCGCCATCATACAGCCCCACCTCGCCATCGTACAGCCCCACCTCGCCATCGTACAGCCCCACCTCACCATCATACAGCCCCACCTCGCCATCATACAGCCCCACCTCCCCATCATACAGCCCCACCTCACCTGCTTACAGCCCTACTTCCCCTGGCTACAGTCCTACTTCACCTAGCTACAGTCCTACTTCACCTAGCTACAGTCCAACCTCACCAAGCTATAATCCGTCATCAGCCAAGTACAGCCCGTCACTGGCTTATTCTCCTAGTAGTCCAAGACTATCGCCTTCAAGTCCATATAGCCCTACATCGCCGAACTACAGGTACCAGTGCCAATCTCTTCTCTCTGAAGTGTACTGCTTGCTTATGTTCTCTGAGTCGGTTGATAACTTGGCTTTCTTTTCTATAGTTGATTTGTTACTTGGCATAGGTCTTACAGGTGGTTCCTACCTCACTATAATTTTAAATGTTGTGAACTTCCTTTTTGCAGTCCCACATCGCCATCATATTCTCCAACGTCTCCATCTTATTCTCCTTCAAGCCCTACATACAGTCCCAGCAGGTACATCTATATATCTTGTGCTTCACTATACTGCAAATCTCATAAAGCAGTTTAACTGGCATAACAGCGTTTTTTTCTGGAACTGTGGTATCTGCCATCTTTTGTTTAACTAGTTGATGTGGTTCATAAAGCACCACTCCATTCAGCCTGGACAAACTTTAGATTCTTCCTGCCAGCAGGGTGACCTGCAAAGCTTGGGGGAATCTAACATGAGGCCAACCTTTAGGGTTGCATAGCAGCCTATTTAGGTTATATTGTCTCTTATATTTTGTCATTATTTTAGCATTGCCTATCTAGTTTTCAATTATTTTTAAGTGGAGGCAATACCTTTTTGATGCATATTATCAAAACATAAGTGAGGTTCATACCCTCATTTTAATTGTATCTTGGCACTATTGATATCTGTGTGTTTCTGCAGTCCTTACAACTCCGGTGCGGCTCCTGACTACAGCCCAAGCTCACCACAGTACAGGTGACTTTTCATCTGGTCTTGGTTATCATTTGGTTCCTGGCAATATTTGATACTCCCTTGGTCCTTAAAAAATGCAACTCTTCTTCTAGTTTTCCTCTCAAAAAGATGGAAGTTTTTTTTTCTTCTAGGAAAAGATTGATCTTGGAATTTACTTATTTAGAACTTAGCAATTGTTGCAAGATATCGATGAGATTGATTGCCTTGTCAAAAGGGTATTTGATCATTAAAGTTTCATGTCAGTTTTCGTGGTAAGCTAATGTTAATTTATGTGTGGGTTTATTGTAGTCCGAGTGCTGGGTATTCGCCTAGTGCACCGGGGTATTCACCATCATCGACAAGCCAGTATACTCCACAAATGAGCAATAAGGACAATGGGTCGAGGCCGTAGATGATTTTTTGGAAGATTGGTTCTTAGTTGGTGTATGATGAGACGTGAGAGGTTGATTGGTATAAAGTGAAACCTGGGTTGTTTGTTGTTGAAGATGAAGTAAAACTTACTGGGGTAACTTGTTAGATGTAAAATCTATGTATGATCCATCCATCCATACATACATATTTTTGAATCAATGGATGATGTATTTGTTGCCTCTATTTGTTTGGTTAATTATTGAATCAGCTAAAAGCTCTTATCCACTATGTCATCATAAAAAAAGTACAAGAAGAGGCATGAAACCACCACCATTCGTCTAAGAGTTGTCATATGCCATCACTCTTTCTTTAAGACTACTCCCTGATCGACCGAGTTTATGTCCGATATAAATAATATCTTATTTTTATTTATCTTTAAATAAATTTTTTATTTATCTATCATTATAGACAATCCCATCTATATTATTTATGGATGTTGAATAATTAGATTAAATTAGTATAAATTAGATATAGTAATTATACATTTTAATTATTGAAACTCCATGGTCAGATTTGTACAAAGATTGATTCAATGGGTTCTGGACATGTTGGTAGTAAATATAAATCTTGTATTTATAGTTATAATTTGTAAACAATGAGTGGTATTTAACAATATCACCGTCACCCGAATGACGAGAATTAGTGATACAACAAATTGCCGGTTTGTAGTCGATTTTACTTTACACATTTAATTCTTTTGTTCTTGACATCCAGATTGAACATGAGACATTCCATTTGTCATTCTTGTTATGTCCAATCTCTAGTTTCTTGATTTTCTAATATATTGATAAAATAAATCATATGATATCTCTTATCAATTATCTGAGCATGCATATATTTCCTCGGTATATATTTATCAATGGGGATCAGAGACATTACTCCCGTTTTAAACGAGAGAAAAATCCTATCTCGATAAATGTTAGTTTTACCAAGTGTTAAAAATATAACAACCCAACAATCATTATGTCATTCGGTTACAAAATGATTAGAATAAATGTCAAAATACATCACTTACACATAACAAACTCCATGTTCTCAAGTTAAAAAATTACATATACATGTAACCCTTTATACTCAACTCTTCACTGCCATATACCAAGACTGAATCCATAGTTCTTCTCAAGTAGTTTAGGATATTCTTGACAACAATGCACTGACCACTACCTGGATTGGATTGGTATCTACTCATCGTGATCAAAACATACGATACATGAGGTCGAGTACATATCATGACATACATGATAGATTAAATTGCCGAATCATATTGAATATTACTAATTCATTCGCTCTTTTGAAACATAGTACGACATTGCATCTTAGAAAGTGATATGGCATGATACATAGATAAGTAGGCATGATAATGGGGTGGGGATGGGGGACGACCTCAATCCCTGATCCCCATCTTTGTCCCCGACCCCATCTCTATCGTGGAATTTGATGACATCACCATCCCCGTCCCCAACAGGGAATGAGGATCTTCAACGTGGAAACGATGAATTTTTTTCCCGTTTATATAAATTTTTAAGTCAAATGTGTGAGACGTCACACATGTTAAATCTCACATTTTTCCAATGAGCTTAAAATTAAAAAGAATTTAATTAATACAAAAAATATACATCATCATATAATAATTAATAAATCGAAAACCAAAAAAAAAATTAAATTTAATCTAATTTTTTTTTACGTCACATATACCAAAATATATCAGAATATTATCCAAAACCACATCTAGTAATATCCAAAATATATTGAAATATAAATAATATATACTATAATTTATTAATTAATATATATACGAGTATGGTATGGGGCGGAGCGGGAGTGCGGGATTCGTCCCTGTCCCTGTTCCTGTTCCCATCCCCGGTTTGAGGCAAACTCCATCCCCGACCGAGGCGAGTGAACCGGGTTTTACGATTGGTTGGAGCCAATTCCCATGCCTGTATTGTGTGTTTTTTAGCGTGGTTCTTTTCGTCATTGATCTCGGTTTCCGCTTGTTCCGGACCATCTTCTTGTATTTGATTACTTTTGCTGTTGCTAAAAAAGGAAAATAAATCCTTTCTTGGAAGTGTTTAGAGCCAAGAAATAAACCATAAACAAGTTTAAAAAAAAACCAAACCGAATTCGATTTTGTCGTTTTGGTAGAAGGATTCCGGTCTGGTCTTCAACCCTCGTGTATGCGATCATCAGAATTTTACCCGACGGTCCGCTTACCATATGACTGCTGTCTGAAATCGTTGTCAAAAGCAAGAATATGCAGCCGCTAGAAGTGGGTACTCGCGTTTTGTGCAGGTGGAGGGACGGCAAGCATCATCCCGTGAAGGTCATCGAACGCCGTAGACTTCACTCCGGTGGCCCTAATGACTACGAGTACTACGTTCATTACACCGAGTGTAAGATACGAACTCTTTGTTTACTTTCTTTCTCTACTTCTTTTTACAATTTTTTATGTGATAATTGATTTCAACTTTCATGAGGATATTTTATGTATGGTGCCAATTTTGTCAGGAGGGACCTTCATTCTTTCCCTGTTTTGGTACTGGACGATCTAGGTTTTACGAATTTAGGGTTTTTATAGGGATACTAGGTTAGGGCTTTCGAAGAATAGCTTGTTATGCTTGTAATTTGCAATTAAGCTCCATCTTTTTTCTTGCTTGTTTGGTTTTTCACAATTTGTTGGAAAAATGGCAGCCGGGAGAAGAAAAAGAAGAATAACCATGCTTTAGCAGCTGAATTGTGGTAGATTTATTGGATGCGGGGAGATATGGAAAGAATAAAAATTGCAATTTTGTAGGTTAAGACTTGAAAAAATACGACCTGAAAGTTTGAAATTCGACAAGTTCTAAGAAACAGATTTAGGTTAGCTAAGAGAATTTTAGCCAGCGAGTTTCTCTTTCTTCTAAAACTGTTGGAAGCTGGGAAGTAGCCTTCCAGCATGGTGTTGAATATTTTATGCTTGTCTTCTAACTTCCCGAACTCATTTATTATGTGATTTTGTACAAGCTCTGAACTCTCTAAGCCATATTATGTATCTATAATTTTGATCCCTTGTTGTATCTTTGTTATGGATATTTGCTGAAAGATGAATGAGATCCTGAATTGGTAAGATGAGTTCCTGAAAACTGAATTCTGAGTCATCGCTTGGCAACAACTAAAAATTCTGTTCCATTTTATGTTTAAAAATATTGATGATGAAAACAGTGTTTGGCAAAAAAAGGAAGACGCGGGATTGGCATTTTGACTTGATGAGGATAGGGTTCAAAAAGTTTCTTCACAAACAGTTCCCTTTTTTAGGTCAAGTAGCTATTAGAAGATAGAATCACATAAGGTGTTTTCCTCCCTAGTAATTGTGCTCTCTCTCTTCTCTCTTGTCGTTTCATTTCCCTCTCTTATTTTGCTTGATGCACTTTCTTGCATCTCAACGTCTTTATATCCTGCCTTTTACCACCACATCTAGGATATGCATTAATTCTCATAAATCATTCCTATGAATCGAAATTGAGGCCCATCTTGGAAAGGTTTTAAATCAATGGAACATACAGTTGCTAATGTAGATTTGCTCAGAAAGGAATATATACTCGTCATTATAGCATCATCAGTGTAGTTCTCAGCAATAGTCAATGGCAGTAAAAAGGAAAGAGAGTTGTCTCCAGAATTCACACTTTAAAACATCAAAGAAGAGTAAAATATATCTTCTTCTGATTTGTGGCTGTATCAATGCAACTTTAAATAGTTTGAATTTGCATATGCAAACATTTGCACAAGGACAAGGTCTGCCAAATTAGTAAGATTTTTAGTTTTTAGGAAGTTGATGTATGGGTTTCTTTGTTACATCAAGAAATTTTTGGAAAGAGAGGATTTTGTCTAGAACTCACCAGAGTGGACCTAACAAACTAATGAGACTTCTGATACGTTGAGAATAAATTGAGCTCTTAATGAAGGAAGGAAACACATGCACTTGATGGCTGGTCATGCGACTTATTTGGTATAATTATGTCACTGTAAGCTTTCTTTTTGTTCAAATGTACATGGGCCACTAAGACAAACATGTTTGTTAATCTACTGGAGATATATTTTGTCAGGTATAAGAAGCTTGGCTTTTTATTTTATAATGTAAGTAGAAGGAAAGTTGACTTGTCATTCCATCCGGGATTTATGGAAAGCCTTTATTTGAGTACTATATATACCAAGGATTTGCCCTTAGCGAATAATCACTGTTGGATTAAGGTAGATAAATTCCTCACCAAAAAGAAAAGCTGAAATTTATGTTTGAACAAATTTAGAAATTAGTCAATTACAATCACATCTAATCATATACATCTATACATTAATGTCTAAATATGCTAAATTGTTTTGCTTTTACTTTTTACCTTTTTGAGACACAAGCCTCCAGAGAAAAATGCATTATGTTAAAACTAGAAGGGTACTCGCACAATGCAGCGAGATACATCTCGATTTTAGTGTTTTTTTTTTGTCTCAGTCGATGTTATAATACGTTTTTATGTGTTTTTGAGAAAGCGATAATGTTTTATTTTTGAATAAAAATATAAATATGAAGATATCATAAAAAAGTGAAAAAAAATTGATATTAGTACTAAACTAACAATTTAAAAATTCTCGTTTATTTGTATATTTTTTATTTTTGATTTAATAATATAATTTTTTATAAAGATAATAATTAAATATTTTGTTAGAACTCAATGATTATCCTAATTATATTTTAGATTTTTTATATTTAAAAATGGGATGTCTATCATCTATTTGATTATATTTATCTACAATTAATAGTTACACGAATTCAAATATAAAACTTTAATAGGTAGTACTTACGCACAATTTACTTGTAATCTTGAATTTTAAGTAATATGCATCAATAAACAGTACTTCATGCATAAAAAATGGTTTTTAAGAGTTTTTGTCAAATGCTTTATAATATAGTATAGATTATTACAACCACATAGGCTAATCTCTCAAGCCAACCCCCCAAATGACACTCACACTCTTCAAATATTTAACTTACCTTTGTAACAAGAAAGAAAAGAACCAAATACTTCAAAGTGCATTTGATTGGAGATTTTGGCTTGGACTCCTTTTATAGGCATGGAGTCCACTCCACCTTTTATTGCTCATGTATGTGGAACTTGCTTTCAGCCAAAAATTCTCAACAAATTGCAAGTCTTAATGTATTAGTGTATCATACTTGAGGCTTCATAGGTGTTGTAATCTTGAAATTTAAGAGTTTTACCTAAATGATTAGTAAGATATTATATATATATATATTAGGGACATACTTAACAGAATCACAAGTCAATAATAGTAGAACCAGAATGAGATGGAAATAGAGTCGGAGTTTGAGGGAATATGTTCTTATTGTGATTCAAAATTATGGAAGCAGTCCTATCCATGTATAGGAAACACCAAGTAGAATTGACTTGCATGTGCTACTAATGGGCTGCCAATTAGAGTATAGTTTAGAATCATGCACTTAATTGCTGGTTGTGATCTTCAAAGATTGGTATTGAGAGCCCTTTAGCCCAATGTTATTGGCCAATTTACTTGAGATTTGGTTGGGGGTCAAGTCTATGCAGAGGAAGTGTGTGTTAAGAGTACGTTCCAGTAAAAAATAGAAAAGAAAAGAGGGAGATTGCTACAATCAACTTAAATGGATTTACTGTGGATAGGGATTCATAAAGGAGTGGAACCCTATACATTTTGTACCAAGTGAAAGAGATGATTGTTTTCATTCCTGTGAACTTGTTCACTAAATGTTTTGGTTGGGATGGAGGGGTTCTATGTTAATATAACACACTTGGAAGCTATTCTTTCATTTTTGTTGCGACTTCTTTTCGAATGATGAATAGAGGTTTTGTAGTATGTTCTTCCCTTATCTGTTTTAGTAGTTAGGTTTCATCTTTTTTATTACCTTATCTATTTGAGTAGTTATGCATGTTCTTCGATTTCAAAAAGAAAAGTATGTATGATCTTGGCTTCTTCCATGTTCTTGTTGCCTATGAGGCTATGACTTTGTTTTGACCTTGCTTTTCTTGTAGTGTCCACATTGTCATCATGATTATAGTGTAATGTTTATACGATTATTGTTTTTAATAAGTAACAGTGTATGCATGTGGCAAGGTGGTTTTTTGTTTTTGATATGTGGTCAGTTCTCTTGGTTTTTTTAACAGTCAATAGGAGACTTGATGAATGGGTTAGACTGGAACAACTTGACCTTGATTCAGTAGAAAACGATGTAGATGAAAAGGTGGAAGACAAGGTAAAATATCTATATTTTGTTCCTGTTTCTGATGTGTCTTTTGGTATTAATTCATTGTGGTGAAGTTTGAAAGATATTGCCTGATTTTCTTCTCTCGGCATTGATGTTTAGGTTACAGGTTTGAAAATGACACGCCACCAGAAACGTAAGATTGATGAGACTCATGTTGAGGTTTGTGTTACCATGTCATATCTTTCCATCTTTGCTGTTACTGCTCAATTATAGTCATGTTCATCATCTTGTAGCTGTATATTGTTTCTTCGTGTGCATATTGGAGGTTAAAGTTGTTGTTTGATTGCTTATGGATTGCTACAGCTTTGGAGTTGTTGAAATTTTTGGGTTTTTCTAATGTTGATTAGAATGATGAGTACAAAATTGTATATTACTAAAGTTGTCCATGGTCTAAGGTTTTATCTGCATATTAGTCCAACTACTTCTAATTTTGCATTTATGATGACCACAACTATAATCTGTTAATGAAGTGAGCCTCTCTATCCCCATTAATCGGTGTCCGTTAAAGAATCTCATGTGCAACAAACACAACTTATTCAAGACGAAGGTTGTGGAAGTTTTACAAAACTTGATTTCTGAACCTTCTTYTTCAATTGGCTTATATAGGGCCATGAAGAGCTTGATGCTGCCAGCTTACGTGAACATGAAGAGTTCACCAAAGTTAAAAATATTGCGACTATAGAACTTGGAAGGTACGAGATTGAGACATGGTACTTCTCCCCCTTCCCACCAGAATACAATGACTCCCTGAATCTGTACTTTTGTGAGTTTTGTCTGAATTTCATGAAGCGCAAAGAACAACTTCAGAGACATATGGTGAGTTATGTTACAATTTCTTCCATTTTTTAATTTGTGAATATCTAAATCATGATATGCCATGTTTCTGAAGGAAAGAGTGTTAGGTAATAACCAATTTGACCATAAAGTTCTAAAATTACTAAAGTGTACATGTCACATGAAATGGAGTTGTATTATTTGATCTTTGTAATGCAACCTATGGTTATTGGCTGTTCTTTAACCATCTTATTCGTCATAATGTCTTGGAAAGTTTCTTAGTTTTCCAATAATATGCAAATAGGGTATGGCACCCCTATGTTTCTTTGTTCCTTTGGTGCATCTTACCTCTCCCTTGCAATGATTTCCTTATCTTGGTTTGTTTCTAGCATATCTTTGTTTTTTCTTTCCCTGCTCTTTTTTTTCCTATTTGTTCAGCCTTTCGGAGTTGCTTTTCTTTTTTGCATACACTTTTTCGCAATTGGGCTGTCTTCATTGGGAACAACCGTTCTACTATTTGGGGTAGGGGTCAAGTTCGCGTACATCTCACCCCTCCTAGATTCCACCTCTAAGTGGGATATACTGGGCTCATTTGGTTTTGTTTGGTTTTGTATGACGCCCCCACCGTACCGGTCCCCTAACCATCATGGGAGAGGTAAATTGTGTGTCGCGGGAGCAAGTGGGTGGTCCTGAAATCGGACCTCCCAATCATTTTGCTAGGATGCTCACCTACCACTTAGTATTTCACCATAAGATACTTGCTCCATTATTTAATGAGTTTTTAGTTTGAATAGATTCAAATTATGGAGATTAATATGACTAGAAAACCAACTTGGTTACCACTTTGACCATTACGTACATATGTGTGAATAAGCTATCTCATTTACTTGGCCTAATTTTACTAGTAAGAGATATTCGGACACATAATTTATATATGTAAAATCAGTTGGCACAAGTATATGGCTAAAACATAAGTCATATCACAGTAAACATATGTTATTTGCTTTTTCTAGAAGACATGGTAAACCATCTAAGGTGATGAAACTTTTCCTCCAACCCAATAATGCACCTTGGTACTTTACTTTGAAATGCACAAGTGTGGATTTGAATTTAGGACCTCCAGGTTATCCAAAGGAAGTTCCAATCACTTAAGACAAACCAAGCTTGGTGTATTGTTTATCTTATTTCCTGTTCTTATTTAAAGTGTATACTTATTATTCGATAGCAGTTAGTAGGACCAACCAAAATTAACAAAGAGGACACTTACGTCTCATTTTACTATGTGCAACTGTTTTGTTCTTGGTATGGATTTTTTTTGTTATTTTTGGTTGAATATATGTTATTATCAAAATTAAATCTTTTTTTTTTATAAAATATTTATCATATGTGAAGTAATATATGGGTTTGTCTTGTGTCCAATCCCTCTAACTATCATTGTTTCTTTTGGTTTCTTCCATTTGTAAAGAAGTGGACCTAGATTTCTCCTTTCTTTCTTTTGCACAATTAACTTAAAATATCATTATTTGTTTTTTGTACTTGTAGAAAAAATGTGATCTCAAGCATCCACCTGGTGATGAGATATATCGAAGTGGTACCTTATCAATGTTTGAGGTATATTCTTGACATTTTTAACATATGCTGAGACACTAACATGCCTATACATGCAACATGACTGCATCACCAAAGTTGAACTGCTATGAACTATATTTTTGGGTCATTAAAGGAGTTTAATCGCACCATTTCACATTAGCTCACTCATTACATCTAAAAAGCTTGCACATAAAAATTTCAGGTTATTTTCTTTAACAAATTTAGTTGTGCATGGTTTTCATCTAATTGAAAACTTGTACATTAGTCATTAAGCTATTTCTTCGTAACAAATTCACATATATATTTCTACATAGCCTGAACTGCACTAGGAGGGTGTGCGATAGATGTTGCTAGTGGGACATATATCTAGTTATTCATGTACAAAGTGGAACATAAAGAAAAACCATTGTTGTGAACCCCTCTTAACGATGCCCTTCCCTGGAACTAGGGTATGCTAAATGTATATAAGCTTTACCATTTATGTATGCCATAGATGGCTGTCACTCCCTTGCTAACTAATTCTGCTGAACCTCAATGTAGATCATAAGAATCAACAAGTATAAGAAATTGTAATTTTTTTAACTATAGTTGCATACAAGTGGTGGCTATAAAGCACTTCGGTTTAAAATTATGGCTCTCACCTAAAAACCATTAAAGTGGTCAATGCTAGCCAAATTGATTTTGTTCTTACTAGAAAAGCAGAACAAGCATGCATAGAATGTGAAGTCATGTAGGTGAGCATGTAGTGACACAATTAGGCTTCTAGTACAATGTTATAGGGATGCACATGGGTTGGGTTGGGCAGTTTGAGGCCATTTGAACAACCCAACCCAACTACTTCAGCTTGGGAAATCATAACCCATACAACCCTATTTAAATTATAACCCAACCCAACCCATCCCATAACATGTTGGTTTGGGTTGGGGGTTTGAATGTATGTTCAAAAAGATGATCATCTTTCAATTTCAAACCAAAAAAATCAAATATCAGTTGTTGGTACTTAATCATTCAAAAACATTACAATCATCCAAGTTTATGTCTAATTATCTAAATATAAGTGTCAAAATACTATTATGATAAGATTGTTGAATTAAAATGACGCTATCGATCAACAACGACGATTCCAACTTCTCTTACTCTGATGTTGCTTTAAACTTGAGTTTTCTCATGTTGTATATAGTTAAAACAAAAGTTAGACTCATTGGAGTATTGGATTAGTAGGACTCTATTAAATTGTTAATGTACTTCCACTACGTACTGGTGTATGTTAGTAGACTTCTAATAGTTAATAACATGAATTTTTTAATTATTATATTTTGTCGTGTTTGGCGGTTTGGTTTGGTTTGGTTATGGACCTAACCAATAATTGATCCTACTCTCATCAGTTTGTATATTTTATAAACCAATTAAATCTCGGGTTAGATTTGGTTAGGTTAATTGGTCTATTTTTCATGTTGGGTTGGGTGGGTTGATAGTATGGTCGGTTTTTGTGCACCCTTTCAATGTTAGACGGTGTCGGAGCTAGGTGGAGAGACCTAGAAGGAGATAATACAATATCTAATGGTGGAAAGTTAGAGAAAGGCTTTATCCTTAGATGGACCAGTTGTCGAGCCATGTTTGATTGAACCGAACAACGTCCTCTGGAAGGAGTTGGGAGTTGTGCTCAGTACAAATAAGTTGAGAGAGGGAAGATCGCGGTGCTTTGGACATGTTTGCAGGAGACAAATGGTGGCTTCGGATGAGCAACTGAGGAGGGACATGGAGGTATTAGGCATTTCTAAGGACATGACTTTTAATGGAATTCTTCGAGATGCAATATTAGGATAGTAGACCAGGGACGGAGATATGTGGGTAGCATAAATAAGGAAGAGAGCTCGAGAGGTATAGGTTGGGGGGTAGGATTAGTGAGCCAACAGATAGGGTACCAGTGTCCTGAGATAGACTAGGGGATGTGTTGTCTTACCTTTGCTATGTTTCTTTGTACCTAATTTTATTTATATGGTGTTGCTTACTCTTTGCTAGCCTTGGTTCTTTTCAAAATTTAGAGTATCTTTCTTTCTGGTCTTGAGTTCTTCACTTTCAAACTCTTCTTTTTTCATTTTTTTCAAATTTTTTAGGCAAGCTTATTTTATCTAATGCACTTTCACAAGTTGGGTCTTCACAGAATCAAGTGTTCTACTCTCTATGGTAGAGGACAAGTTTTTATATCCCACCCCAACACCCCACCTCCAGGTGGGACATATTGGGCTCTTTGGTTTGGTACTACGAAGACTGAGAACATGGTACCAACATGCATTCAAAAGGTAAGAAAAGAGGTAATCGGAGAAATTTGAAGACAACACATCCCCTAGTCTAAAGATACTTAGTAAGAAGGTACCATAAGTTACTAAGAGGAAGAAAGGGTGCTACGAACTCTTATATGAATGAAGGAGCATTGAGTACATAGAGAAGGATACTCCATAAGAGAAGAAAGCAGTAAGAAGCTGAAAGTAAGGCCCATCAGAATCTATACAAGAAAGGATTAGAAGAGGCAGATGATGATGTATACAGTATGTTAATGATGCCACAACGAGTCATGGCGGTAGGCAACTGCCGGCATGCCATGTTTAGACGCACCCACCATGTTGTTTGTATGGCCACAAGTTGTTCACTGTATGTCATTTCCATGTGTATGCATCATAACATTGAAAATTTATATAATATTATCGTATTTGGTTATCAAATATAGAATTTGATTTAAAAATAAACAAGCAATACCATTAGACAAAGTCATTAGCCATTACATTTATAACACTGGCGTCTCAAAGTCATAACTTTAAACAAGATGTTAAAAACTAATCAAAATCATCAAACATAAAGTTATCTTCATGTCCCTCGATAACAATCACTATCATTTGAAAGAGTGGGTGACCTTTTTTCATAATAATCTTCCACATCTTTCTCATCATTTGAACAAATGCTTTACCATCTTCGGTTACATATTCACTGGAATGGGGATCTATAAGAAACATTGTTTCCCTGGAAATGGATCCAATGACACCATGTAGCAAGTAGGTGGCAAACTCATTGCAACCTCTGACTTCCTGGGAAGATTGTGAACCTCATTCACATGGTACCCGCTACTCGTCATGTTTGGTTTGATATTGCTACCGCACAGGACTTCGAGATTCATTGATTTATCAGCGTAAAGCCGTAAAACCAAGAAGTACTTACAAACTCAAAAATGCTCCAATGTGCTCACAACACAGGTCAAGACTTGTTTTTGAACTTTGCAAGCTCAGAATACTACATTCATGGAAAAATCTGTCCACATGGACACTCTACTTCTCATCCAGGTTCTCAAAGGGTTCTCCAAAGATAGAAATTAGATCTCAACTTTGAACCTTAGCAAGTGATTACTTTGTTCTCAGCTGCATGTGATTGATGAAGGAATTAAATTAGGGAATTAGAGAAAACAGAATGGGAGAGAGATGAATCAGATATAGGGAGATCGTTATCGGAAGGATGATGGAGAGAAGGGAGTATTTAATTCTAAATCTTTTCATCAGGCTTAGGATTTAAAGAAGACGGCAGATATACCAAGATGTCATGAGGACGGATGTGCCTTGAGATGTTCAGAGAATTGTGAATTCACCAGTCACCACAACATTACCAAGCATGAAATCAGCAACAAACCAGGCGTTAACTTAGCAGACTAAACACACAACTAACAGAATTGACAAGTCAAAGGGACTCAAACAGGTGGCCTTGTGTTCATTTTTGGCTTCACACACATGCGAGATCCAAATTCAAATAATCTCCCATGTCTCCTTGCTTCCAACTATCTACACCAACTATCTAGGAGCACGTTGCTGAGCAACAGACAAAAGTAAGGAAAATAATGACTAATGAGCATCTAACAAGTTTACTAAGAGGTCAATGGTGTTGTGGAACTTGTTACTGGAGCTGTAGAGTTTTGGTTTCTCCTTGCACGTGGTGTCAACTTTGTTTATTAATGTGTTTCTTAGGATATGATTTTTTTCTTCCACATGCTAAAGTCTATGTTAAAAAATTGCATTGAAGATTTCCCTTCTGTTTTTAATCTTAGCATTACACGATCTAGTCTTTGTTACAAAGTATATAATTAGAGAAAGAAATACGTACCTAAAGCCTTAGTTCTATCTCTAAATTAATTGTAGTTTCAGTGACATTTCTTATTAATAATGTGTAGAAATGATTACTTTTTGGAACAGGTTGATGGGAAAAAGAACAAGGTCTATGGCCAAAACCTTTGTTATCTGGCGAAGTTGTTTCTTGATCATAAGACCCTCTACTATGATGTTGACCTGTTTCTATTTTACGTGCTGTGTGAGTGTGATGATCGTGGGTGCCACATGGTTGGCTATTTCTCGAAGGTAATTTATCTGCCTTTTGCTGTTCTTATTAGTTAGGACACTTTCTAGCAAGGATTTATACTGCCTATACAGAATGAATTTTGGCAGGATCCATTATACAAAGTCATGACTTGGTTTATAATTGCTCAATCTTATGATTCAGGAACAGTTTGACGTACATGTTATTTGTTACTTTTGATTTGTGTAGATCTGTTTTCTGAGTTCCTGTTGCTGTATGTTTCTGTTTGCGTGGCGTCATTTTCATAAGAAAATTTGATGCAACATGTTCTTGTAAAGTGTAAACTTAACCTTCTGATTCCATGCCACACTATTTTGAGTCATGATATGCCCCTAGCAATGTTGTCCAAGTAAAGAATCCGTTTGATTTATTGAACTTTGCAACTACAGAATACAGATTACAACCTTTAGATGTTTCAGTGAAATACATGTGTTTCCATATGCTTAATAAACATTTCCTGATTAACTTTGAGTTTTAGTTTTCACTCTTACCTTTAGGCAATGCCTTTATCCTGAAAATATATTTATATCCTCTCGTAACCTCTCAATATTGGAGGTAAGGATCAAATTAGGTTGAGACCATCGCTTGATGCAACTCAAAATTCATATGCACAGCGTGTGCGGTTTAAGAAAATCCTGTTTTCAAGCTTTCCTGATGGGATAATTTAAAAAATCATGAAACCGCTTATATTTTAGAAACATATTTAGTTTAGTTTTTCTGGGAGTTGAACCAAAAAAAATATTTTGTTGTTGATATTGCAGGAGAAGCATTCAGAGGAGTCCTACAATCTAGCATGCATTCTAACTCTTCCTCCCTATCAGAGGAAAGGCTATGGGAAATTCTTAATTGCATTTTGTGAGTTCCTTTCCTTTTTGACCTTTTTCCAACTCTCTGGTAGCTCTGTTCTATCTGTATATATGTTACTGTGCTATTTACAATAAATGGAACCTCTAACAATATTCAAACTCCTAATAACATGATTCGATTCTTAAATGGACACTTAAAATACGTATTATCATGACATTTGAGCCTACCTTTTAATAAAAGAAGTTTATATACTGGTTTATAGATGGTCTTCTGTTCTGTGATTATGTCTAATGTCCACAACGAAATTGCATCATAGAGATGGTAGCATCTTATGGTTACTTTAATTTATGGATATGGACCATCCTTTTCTTGTTCTAAATTATAGGGTGTGGCCTAGGTAGTCAAGGTTTTAAATATTGGATACCTGAAATCCCTAGAAGTGAGAAATTTAGATAATTGTTAGTGTGTTACCATGTCTTCTCCCAATGAACCTCTTACTATGTATGTGGGAAAATGTAAAAATGTAAATGATTATGTATTTAATGTAGGAGTAATGGAAGCCGATTATAGTCCCATAATATTAATGATTGTAGGCAATCCCAGAAAATCAGTGATTCATAGAATAATTAAATATCAATAAATTATAAATTATAATGAATCAACTGAGCGACGGGTCTTGGACGGGTCTTGGGAGTCTGCTTTAAAATCGTCCGCCCTGCCCCCCCCCCCTCGAGTATATGCTTCAACAGGAATCCCACAAGGGTAGATTATAAACCTCTAGTAAAATGACCGCCCGTAACCCGGTAGATAAAGTACTTTACATAGCATTACATAGTCTGTTTTAGGGATTAGCGACTTACCCATTCAGTGACTTTGGCACTGGACATACTCGTTTAAGTTTCCTTTTCTATCCCTTTGCCTTGTGTATTTATATTGTATGCTTCTCTGTCAAGAATGAATAAGAAACACAACAGAATTCCTAATCCTATTATGGTATTAGAGCTATCGAAGCCTGGGAAGCCTTTTTAGCCGTCATAAACCTTCTTTGAAAATTTCGTAGGCCTTCATTGCCTCCTTTTTTGATTTCTTTTTTTGTGGCCTTCATTACCAACAATTCCTAACCCAGCACCGAAAGAATGACAGAACCCAAATCAGAATCTGCCATAACCCATGTTTCTCAACCAGGAGATTTACAGCACATCCATGCATCATACTAATTGGATGGAAAGAACCATCTCAAATAGTCCCAAGTAGTTCGAACCATCCTGGAAAGGAAGGGAAAATCAGTCATCTCACCGAACAAGACCCAAATGAGAAGATCCCAAGTTTCAAGCATGGGATGAAGAAGATTCCATGATCATGGCGTGGTTATGGAGTTCTATGATTCCTGAAATAAGTGACACTATGATGTTCATGGCTAATGCCAAAGGGAACTGGGATGCAATTCAACAAACGTACTCTAAAGCAAAAGATGCAGCTCAGGTTTATGAAGTGAAAGTCAAGACTATGGTAGCAAAACAGTAACCGAGTATGCCAATCAATTAATATCATTGTGGCAAGAACTCGATCATTATAGGGTAATCAAGACCAATTGCTCTGAAGATGCGTCGATACTCAAGACTTCATTGAACAAGACAAAGTTTATGACTTCCTTGTAGGTTTAAACTCTGACTTTGATCAAGTGAGGATTCAAATCCTTGGAAAATTTGAAGTACCTTGCTTTAATGAAGTGGTGGCTATTGTTAGAAGTGAGGAGAGCAAGAGAATCTTAATGCTTGAGACCCTTCAATGAATGGCTCGACAATGGTGGCCGAAAATATCAAGATAAGGAGGGAAAATAGAACCAACTACGAATCTGGATCCGGGAAAGGTGATCAACTCAGGACTCAAAATCGAGATGGGTTATGGTGCACTTATTGCAAAAAGGCATGCCACACCAAGGAGAAATGTTGGAAGTTACATGGCAAACCTCCAAGCCAAGAGTGGGGGCAGAAAAGTGCAATGACTAGAGAAAAAAGGACAAACCCATGTCGCAATCGACCCAACCCCAGAAGAAGTCAAACAAGAGCCAACAAACATTAATCAAGAGGAAATGGAAAAGCTCAGGTCATTTTTCAGCACTCTGGAAAAACCTTCTCTTAGTGGATACTCATTCCCAGGTACTTATTTTTTAACCTATTCAGGTGAGCATCCTTTTTCATTTGGATTTAATGTCTCAGCAACTGTCCATGTGCTCACTCTTCCAAACACTTCTCCATATACTCACCTTGTCCAAGTAACAAGAAAATTCCCACGGCTGATGGAACTCAAACCACCGTAGCCGGTATAGGAGATTCCAACTCAGCTCATCCATTCTTTTAAAAAATGTTCTTCACGTCCCAAAATTGTCCATTAATTTGATTTCCGTAAAGAAACTAGCACGAGATTTACCTTGTCAAGTGGTATTTTGTGACGAATATTGTTTGCTTCAGGAAAAAGATTCAGGGAAGACAATTGGACTTGCTAAGGAAAATGATGATCTATATTGTCTTGAGATGCCAAAGAGTAGCAGATTATCTCACTCGTATCAGAATCTGTTCTTTCCAATAAAGAAAAAATCATACTTCATCATTGTCGTTTAGGTCATCCCTCATTTAGGATTATTGAAGTTATTTTTCCTTATTTGTTTAAAACAATCGATGTTGAAAGGCTTCATTGTGAGGTATGTGAGCTTGCTAAACACAAGTGTATCCCTTTTCCTAATAGTGATAAAAGAAGCAACTCTCCTTTTTATCTTATTCACACTAATATTTGGGGTCGATGTAATATTTCCAATGTGTCAGGTGCAAGATGGTTCATGACTTTCATTGATGATTGTACATGGGTTACTTGGGTGTTCATATTAAAACATAAGTCTGATGTTAGCACTATTCTTCCTAATTTCATTTCGATGGTAAAAAATCTATTTGGAGTATAAGTTTAAAAAATAAGAATCGATAATGCTCGAGACTTTTTCAATCGAACTCTCACCTATTTTCAAAAAGAGGGAATAATTCAAGAATCTTCATGTGTTAAAACACCTCAAGAGAACGGAGTGGCAGAGAGGAAAAATTGGCATTTATTAGATCAAACCAGAGCATTATTATTTCAAAATAACGTTCCAAAACATTTTTGGAGAGAAGCAGTGCTCACAACAACTTATCTTATAAATAGACTCCCTACCCGAGTTCTAGGATTCAAAAGTCCTATGGATGTACTTTCTTCCTTTTACCCAAATGTGTCCACTTCCAACAATCTTGTACCCCGTATTTTTGGATGTATTTCATTTGTTCACGTCCATAGCCAAGACAGAAACAAACTTGATCCTCGGGCACTAAAGTGTGTTTTTTTGGGATATTCCTCAACCCAGAAAGGGTAAAAATGGTACCACCCCCCATCTAGAAAGTTTTTTGTGTCAAGGGATGTAACTTTAAGCGAAGACAATCCCTACTTCACCAACCTTATGTTCTGGGGAGGATCGAAAGGAAGATAAGGGTAGCCTGGAAGATCTTTTACTTGACTTATCTATATTAGCTTCTACTTCTATCCCTGAGCACTCCCCAAATACTCCTATTATCCACGATCCAAAAATAGTTTCACCAGCTCCTGAGCCTATTTCTTCCGAATCTCACTCCACTCCTATCCCTAAGCTTGAACACTCCCCAATTACTCTTGTTACTCATAACTCTAAAACAATTCCACCAGATCGGGAACCTATTCCAGAATCTAAATCCACTCGGTTTAGGAAGAACCTGGTATACTCAAGACAAAAGAAGAACATTCTTAGACCCGAGTAAGTCCAAGAATCTGATATCGGTCCTTCAAACGAGGTAACATTTTCTAACTCTATACCCTTGCAAAGCATAACTGAATCTCAAACAAGTGACCAATCTCTGCCTATTGCCGTTAGAAAGGGAACAAGAGAATGCACAAAAAGACTATTGTATCCCTTACATACTACACCTCTTTCCAAAAATTCTCTTCCACCTATAAAGCATTTCTTGTTAACTTGGAACTCCATTTCCATTCCTACAAGTTTATCTGAGGCATTATCTAATGAAAATTGAAAGCAAGCCATGAATGTGGAAATGGAAGCACTTGAAAAGAATAAAACTTGGGAGTTGGTTAAATTGCCGGAAGGAAAAAGCCAGTAGGATGCAAATGGGTTTATACAGTGAAATATAACGCGGATGTGTCAATTGGGAGGTATAAAGCAAGACTGATAGCCAAGGGATATACGCAGACTTTTGGCATTGATTACTTTGAGACATTCGCACCTATTGCAAAAATGAATACAGTAAGGTAATTCTATCCCTAGCTGCTAATCTTGATTGGGATTTGCCAATTTGATGTAAAAAACGCATTCTTGCATGGAGAACTTGAGGAGGAGATCTATATGGATGATCCACCTGGTTATGGAAAAGGAACAAAACGCAATACAGTGTGCAAGTTAAAAAAGGCACTATATGGCTTAAAACAATCTCCTCGAGCATGATTTGGGAGATTTACCAAGGCTGTGTTAACCTTGGGATATAAACAAAGTCAAGGGGTTCACACTCTGTTCATCAAGCACTCAAAAACAAGAAAAATAATAGTGCTACTGGTTTATGTGGATGATATCATTGTAATAGGAGATGATAAAGAAGAGCAACAAGCCCTAAGCTTATGTCTAGCCAAAGAATTTGAAATCAAGGCATTAAGAAGACTGTAAGTATTTCCTTGGAATTGAAGTTGGTCATTCAAGAAAGGGAATTTTGAAGTATTTCCTTGGAATTGAAGTTGCTCATTCAAGAAAGGGAATTTTTATATCCCAATAGAAGTATGTTATAGATTTGCTCATGGAAACAGGTCAAGGTGCATGCAAACTTGCTAGACTCCTATAGACCTGAATCATAGACTGGGAAATGCAGAAGAAGATGCAATTGTGAACAAAGAAATGTATCAACGGCTTGTGGGGATACTTATATATTTTTCTCAAACCAAACCTGACATAGCTTATGCTGTAAGCATGGTCAGTCAATTTATGCATAACCCAAAGGAAACCCATTTACGAGCCTCACACCGGATTTTACAGTATCTCAAAGGAGCATCGGGGAAGGGAATCCTATTTGAAAGAAATAACCGTGTAACTCTTGAAGCATACACCTATGCAAGCTATGCTACGTCATCAGTTGACGGTAGATCGATAACAGGGTATTGCACTTTTCTCGGAGGAAATCTTGCTACATGGAGAAGCAAGAAGCAAAGTGTGGTAGCACGATCTAGTGCTGAAGCCGAATTTCGGGCAATGGCACATGGTATATGCGAACTATTGTGGCTAAAAATCATCCCAAAAGATCTAAGGATCAATTGGGAGGGATCAATGAAGCCCTATTGTGACAATAAGTCAACAATAAACATAGCTCACAATCCAGTTCAACATGATCGAACAAAGCATGTTGAAGTTGACAGACATTTTATCAAGGAAAAGCTAGACAGTGGCTTAATTAGTACTCCATTTGTGCCTACTCATGAACAACTAGCAAATGAATTCACCAAAGGACTAAGTAGACTGATGTTTGAGAGAATTTTATCCAAGCTGGGAATGGGAAACTCCCACTCACCTGCTTGAGGGGGAGTGTGGGAAAATGCAAAAATGTAAATGATTATGTATTTAATATAGGAGTAATGGGAGCCGATTATAATCTTATAATATTAGTGATTGTAGGCAATACCATAAAATCAATGATTCATAGAATAGTTTCCTTTTCCTTCCCTTTATCTTGTGTATTTATATTGTATGCTTCTCTGTCAAGAATGAATAAGAAATACAGCAGAATTCCTAAATCTGTTAATGTGTGGTACGTTCTAAATTGTCAAATATTTGATGTCTCTCCACCTCAACATTTGCATTTCTGTTGCACTAATCTTGTGGAAATGTTGTCTGTTAATGGCCTGCATTGCTCTCATGTGTCATGTGTTGGTGGCGAATTAGGATATATAACCAATTTCATTCCAAAAATCTGATACTTTAGCATTTTTTTATTGGTTAAACATACAATTAAAAGACAACATATTAATTGTGTAAAACTCTCTTCACAGTTTTAGAACATGAAATGAATAAATATAGTACCTTGACTGCTTATAATGATATGGAGTAACAAATGCACTAGCTGCACCTCAAATAACTATACCTTATCCTTTGTAAACTGGAAAGGGAAAAGGGTTATTTTTCTTTCAGGGTAGAACCTGTTGCTAGCTCCTTGTCTTTAGCATCTGAAAGTGGGGTTAGAAAATCTGATATCGGTTTGAATGCGTATGTGATAATAACTAATATTATCTAACATGTGACCTAGAGGGTAGGGCGTAAGGAAGTGGTACCGTGTCAAATCACCATGCTTTGCCTCTTATGAGTCATGAATCCCTGAACTTATGTTACTTGCTATGGTTGGTGCCATTTGGCCAATTGCTTGTCGGCTGTGTGATGGTGTTAGTACAAATGCAAAAACGAATAACCTCCAGACACAAGTATTGCAATAGAGTAGGGAGTTTATGATTATGACTTCCCATCATCGCATGATCACTGTCAAAGAAGAAGCCATAAAAGTTCCTCAATTTTGCATTTACACTTCACTTCTTCAATTATGGTTAGGAGATCAAACCCTTGCATGTTTTTTGTTTGATTTTGCTTTTATCTTTGACCTTTTGGCACGTGAATGATGGAATACCTCTTACTATGGTGCAGCATATGAACTTTCCAAGAAAGAAGGTAAAGTTGGCACACCTGAAAGGCCTCTTTCTGACCTGGGATTGCTTAGCTACAGAGGATATTGGACTCGGGTTCTTCTAGACATTTTGAAAAAGCACAAAGGCAACATATCAATTAAGGTTTGTTTTAAGTTTACTAGAGCTCCTTGTGATTTTACAATTACTTGATTCTGACTTTGTACAATCCTGATTTTCTCTGGACTAGCATGTAAATAGTTAGGCTAAAACTCGAGGTGATCATTTGCGGGCTTGGGCGAGCCCAACATACTTTTTGTCCAAGACTGTGGGTTTGATAAGTTGCCCTTGTCCTTCCTATAAGTGGGCAAGATTGGCATAAGGGCGAAGGCGCCTAAAAAGTCTTTTAGCTCTGAGAAAAACAAAATCTATGTAAAATAGTTCAAAATACACCATTTTCTTTCCAACTTGAAATAATACTTAGTACATACATAGTCTTAGGATAACGGAAGAAATAGCTTCACAAAATATGGTCATTTTCTCCCCAAGTTCTTAAGCAACATTTGCAGCCCAAATTCTTCTACAGCCAAATATTGCACCACTTAAATAAGTAGAAAATATTACAAAAGACATGATAAATAATTAGTTTGTGTAGAACACGTAGTTAGTAGTTTTAATTCAATAGAAACCGAGTCACCATCAACTTATATTTCATCATCTTCTTCTTCTTCGTCAACATCCAAAATTACCATGGTTAAAAAAATTCTTGAACCTCCAACAAAAAAAAAAACAAAAGTACATATTAGGCAAGTACCATAAAGTTATAAACTTAACTTACAATAATTACATTTAAAAATAGTATTTACCTAAAGCAAGGCCTTTTGCTCCCAACCAATCTTCATAACATGCAAGCACCTCAATTGTCTTCTCCTTAAGAGAAGCTTTAGAAGGTATCAAATTCTTTCTCGTACTAATAGAAGATTCCACTGGGACATTAGAGATAGGAATGATGAGGATGTCACAAGCCATATATAAATGGTCCAAACTTTGGATAATAGATTGAACTTCAATTCCAATAATCCAGTACATCACATTTCCCATAATATTATAATTCTTCTTTAAATAGAGCTCCAACTCACTCTTGTCATTGTTTACCTTTCTCTTTTTACTCGAGAACATGTTATACTTTGCAATTTCGTTTATTTGATAATCGCTAGTTCTTTAGGAGCTAGTGGCAATAGTGGGAGAAGTGGCACCTTGTCCAATCCTCTTATACTCATCAAATAAGTTAAAGAAAGTAGTTGTAATACTTTGAACCTTTTCCCTACCATATGTTTCCCCATTCAACTTATCATAGCAGATATTCAACTCTTTCTACTTTAATGTGTGGATCTAAAATGACAACTCAAAAACAAGAAATTTTAGTTAGACCAAACACTAATCAAACTTTTTCTGCATATACTTTGACATGGAAGACAAGTTACACAAAAGACCCGCTGCAACATCTATGAACTTCCTATGCATCCTTCAGATACCATCAAAATGGAACTCACCGTAGGATTCTTGGAGGCCGAAAATGTATTAGTCAGATCATAGATAAGCTTCAAAAATGCATTCAAGTCACCAACTCATATCATATTTATCAATTGAGAGGACAAACACTTTGATATCTTTATCTCGACTAACCAAATAATCAATCACAGTTCTAAAATAGCGGTTAAACATCAAAAAAGTTGAATTATACCTTATGCAATTATCTCCATGCAACTTTTTGTTTCTTTTTATACCAAAACAATACTATAAAACTTCCTTTTTTTGGGATCAAGTGAGTTTTATGGTGTTATTTTGGTATAAAGACAAATAAAAAGTTGCATGGAGATAATTACATATGGTGGATTTTACTTTTTTGATACTTGGCCACTTTATGTATTTTAGAAATGTGATTGATTATTTGGTAGATTGAGATAAATATATCAAAGTGTTTGCCCTCTTAGATGATGAATGTGATAGATTTGGTGAGTTGTATGCATTTTTAAAGCTTATCTATGTTGTGACTGATACATTATATGCCTCTACTGCAAATTTCTATTTTCATGGTGTATGGAGGATGCGTGGAAAGTTAATAGAGGCTGCTACGGGTTCTTTGTGTAACTTGTCTTCCATGTCAAAATATATGCAAAAAAAGGTTTGATAAGTATATAGGTTTGACTATAATATTCTTCCTTCTTGTGTTTCCGTTTTAGACCTCCACTTTAAATTAGAAATAATTGAATATCATGATAAGTTGTATGGGGAAGCATGTGCTAAGCAGGCTGTTTCCATATTAAAATTACTTTATTTTACGAGTATAAGGGGGTTGCACATGCTGCCGCTACTCCTACTTTTTCCACTAGCTTTGTGGGAAGCAATGATTTTATGAGGATCAACTGGATGGAATTTTAGAGTATAAAATGTTTTTGAGTAAAAACACAAAGGTGAACAATGACGAGTGTGAATTTGAGCCCTACTTCGAGGAGAGGCATTCCTATATCACTGGAAAATGTGATGTATTGAATTATTGCAATAGGAGTTTAATATGTTATCCAATCTGTGCCATTATGGTTTGTGACATCAAAATTTGTGAAGATATTGTTTTTGTTTAGCTACACTGATACTATGCTTGTAGTAAGCCTTAATATGGTTGGAAAGGAAATGGTGTATTTTGTATGATTTTAAATAGATTATGTATTTTTTTAAAAAGGAAGGACTTTTTAGGCCGGTGGGCAAGCCCGGCTGGTTTACATGGCGGTTAAGGGCAACGTATCAAACCCACAAAAAAGGGCTTGGTTTCTGCTGTATTAGGCCCATTAGACAAACATAGCTAGCTGATGCCCGTGTGCAACCCAAACCCATAGCTGATCACCTTTATTGAGAACCTACTTTTTCGTGATGTGAAGGGATGGCTTACTTTCTTTGTATAAACACGTGAATCCGTCTCACAACTAGTGTAGTAGTAGTTATCCTATATCATTTCTTATGGCTGTTATCTTATCTCAATTCTTTGACTCTGCACTTTATCAATAAACTATTGTTTATTTCTTCCTCATCTGACACCAAATAAAAACCTATTAACCAATGGTTGATCTCTGAGTAGTTGGGCATCCATGATATATGAGATATCTTCTCTATGTAGAACTTTTTTAAGATGTGAAGAACAATAGCGAAATAGCTAGTGCAACTGATACCAGTTCTCAATGTTTTGAGATAACCGGCTTGTTTTCTCTCTTGTATTATGAACTCTTTTGTTCGTTCAGGAGCTTAGTGACATGACGGCGATCAAGGCGGAAGACATTTTAGCAACTCTTCAGGCATTAGAATTGATACAGTATAGGAAAGGGCAGCATGTGATATGTGCAGATCCTAAGGTGTTAGACCGTCACCTAAAAGCTGCTGGTCGTGGTGGTCTGGAGGTTGATGTTAGCAAATTGATTTGGACTCCTTACAAGGAACAAGGTTGATTGATGATTCTTGATCCGCTTTTCAATCGTTTCACATTGGAATTACAATCATCAATTAGTTTTAGCTATATAAATATGTCCTTGATGTGCTCTCAATAAAGTTACCAAGTATTGCACCCTTGTTCTGTAATATGGTGAGAATAACAGGCTGATATTGCTGTTGCTTAAACAAAGTAGAAGAGGGCTCATGCTATTGTATCTTCTGATGACCAAGAAGGTCCATTTTGGTTGTTATTTGGGGGCATTTACCAAACAATTATCGGGTAGGCGCTTTCCGTCAAGAGTCACCAAACGCGCTTTAACAGGTGACATTATTCGCAATCAAGAATGGATTGTTGGTAAGCGTCTTATACATCATAAATGTTTATAGGGTAAGATTCCTGGTCCTTGCCATTCTCACTTGTAAGTGTTTGGTAACGGCCTCGGTCGTAAACTGTTTCCAGATCCACTTTAAATTGGTAAATTCGAGTACACTTTTTTTGTCCAAAATAATGTAGTGATAGCGTAGTTTTTTTGGTCAACCTTGACCTTAACGGGTCTTGGTGGTCGTAAATGGGTCCTTTTGGTCTTAGGGGATAAACAGTTTGAATGATAAAAATGACTATTTTACCCTTGGTTTTACATTAAAACATAATAGATCACATTTCTCAAAACAACAATATTAATAGATCAAATCATAAAACTGTAAACAAATTGAAACCCCAAATTAGAAAATGTATCCAAATCTTGGCATAATAGAACACAAAGGAATGCAACCTAAAACCCAAAATTTAAATGGAAAGGGCAGGTGAGGCAGAGGGATGCAACTCATCGGTGTGATAGAATACAAACAGGTTGGCATAATAGAATACAAACCCTAAAATGAGAGATGCAACTCGTCGGTGTGTGAGGCCTCTGGCAGGTGAGGCAGAGGGTGACGGCCGGCGATGGTGAGGCAGAGGGCGACGACCGGCGATGGTGAGGCAAAGGAAGACCGACGATGATCTTTGAGTTGCATCTTGTTTTAGGGGAGTTTTTTTTTCTAGAGAACGAGAGATGGGTTGCAAGGGTAAGAAGGTAAAAAAAATGGCTGAGTGGATATGACACTCCTTGGTGGGCTGAGCGAATCAGCCTCTTTTTGACCCATTAAATCACTTCCGAACACTTATATATGGCTTAGCGAATAAGCCATACATGCTATATAGCCCATTAAGTCACTTCCGAACAGCCCCTTGGTTTAATTGACATATTTCATCTTAACAACTCTAATCGGGTCATAATGGCGCTAACCGGGTCAAATTGAGTTTGGTTTGACATTTATGGATCTATGGTAGAACGGGTTTTGTAGTCCCTAATGGGTGCTTTTGGAGTAAGTGGATTTAATGGGTCTATTTCACCTTAATAAGTCTCATTGGGTCACAATTACACTAAATGGGTCATAATAAGTTTGGTTATACCTTAATGGATCTAATTGAGATTTTGAGTTCCTTGGTGGGTCCTTTTGGTTTTAGTGGGTTTAATGAGCGTATTTCACCTTAACAACTTTAATTGGGTCATAATTGCACTAAATAGGTCTAACTGAGGTAGAATAGGGTTTGTGGTTCTTACTGGATCCTTTTGGTCTTAATGGGCATAATGAGCCTATTCACCCTAATTGAGTCACAATGATATTAAATGTGTCATAATGAGTTTGGTTCTACCTTAATGGGTCATTTTGGTCAAAGTGGATTTAATGGGCCTATTTCACCTTAACAAGTCTCAATGGATCACAGTAGCACTAAATGAGTCATATTAAGTCTGGTTATACCTTAATGGGTCTAATTGAGGTTTTGAGGTCATTAATAGGTCCTTTTGGTCTTGGTGGTTTAATGGACATATTTCACCTTAACAAGTCTCAATGGCTCATCATGGCGCTTAATGGGTCTAATTGAGGTAGAACATGTTTAGTGGGCATAATGGGTCTATTTCTTCTTAATGAATCTAATTGGCTCATAATAGCACTAAATGGGGTCATAATGAGTTATGTTAGACCTTAACGGGTCTTATTGAGGTATAATGAGTCTTAGTGGTCCTAAATGGGTTCTTTTGGTCTTAGTGGGTTTAATTCGCATATTTCATCTTAAAACTCTATTTGGGTCATAATGTTAAGAATAGTGTAACACCTAGGGATGATAAGAGTACATTCACTTTCTAACACTTCCAAGTAAATATAAAATGACATAAACACTCGTAAAATATTATGCTACCGATACATCATGAAATTATAAGTTTGAATAAGATATATACCTCCAAATATTTTGATTTCTCATATTGATTTCACTTCTTTTTCCTTCCTTGAATAGTGTCCATAGAATACCAAAAACACTCAAAAAATTTCTTTAGGACTCGTTTGGTTTGGTTGAATGTTTTTGAGAAATTTGGATTTTGTGGAAGGATTTGAAATTGGCAGTATTTGGAATCTTTGGTTTGTAGGATTTGAATTTAGAATTGAATTGAATTCTACTTTATAAATAATTTATAATAACAAATCATAATTTTTTTAAATTATTAAAATTTTCTTTTTATTAATTGATTATTACAAAACAAATGTTATAAACATATTTTAAAATATTATTATAAATCTTATGAATTACAGTGAAATACCAACTATCCCATAGGAATTCTAATTCCCATATTTGTAGAATTATATTGAAATCTCGATATTTCCATTTTGAACTTTCCTTTAAACCAAACGCAAAATTAGAATGAAATTCAATTCCAAATCACATCAAATCCAACAAACCAAATGGATCCTTAGTAATTATTCGGTTCGCGGAATCCAAAGGAATTGGGATGACGAATTCCTTCGACCAAATTTCTTTCGGTGATGTTTTGTTCACAGACTAAATTGATTGAATTTCGTCAAATACAATGGTTGAGGATTTGGTCATTCTTTGGCATAAGTGAAGTCATCGAAAATTCATTCCTTGTCAAGTGTTATGGATTTTATAACTTGGTTTTAGAAATACATAAATAACCTTTGCAAATTCCAATTCTTTTGAAAGATTTCATTCTAATTTTTACTTACCAAATGTGTGGTCAAATTTGTAACACCCCAAAAATGGGACAACGAAAATTTTCAAATAAAACAGAAATGTGGTATTGAAATATCAAAATACGAGTCATCCCAAAAAACGGGAACTTAAACACGCCAGTCAATTGCAAATGTAACAAATGGGTTTGAGGATGACAACCTTCTACTCTAATTCCTTAAAGAAATAAAATTACATTTGGGTGTCACATAAACCACCAAAATACTTCAATCGACGACAACTCAAAATGCTCCCAAGCTCTCTAGTAAAGTCCGATCAAACCTTCTTAGTGACCACGTCACTAGAACATGAGATACACGCTGACACCAAACAATTGTTAGGAGTTAGCATGAACATAAAGTGAACAATGCAATATCATTAGTTAAAAGCATTTGTAAACCAAATACAACATTTAGGGGGAATCAACGGAGGAGACTCATGTATATTGAGAGCGACGGGAACACCAAAGTATTTCACTCGAACAACATTGTCGCCTAACACTTCAAGACTTACCGTCCAAGTGTCCTAACAACTACTTAACAACTTTAGGTGTTACAGTTATCACGAAAAAGAATGTCTTTTTATAATTTGAAATATTGTTCTAGGTTTGCATTTAAAAATAATCCCAAGTTTATATTCAATTTATGTTCGAAGTTGGAACCGAACTAGTTATAGGTGAAATCAAACCGACTTAGATTTATCTAGTATTTGCTTTCGTTGACTTTATTTTTTAGGGTTCGGTTTAGTTCCAATTCATTCAAGTTTTGGCACGATGAACACCTCTAGTGACACCTTATTTTCATAACATATTTTGGCGATTTATTCGTACACGACGAAATAAAAAGATGAAATTATGTCTTTTTGCTTCTCTTAGGTGATGTTTGGTTTGTTGGAATTCGATTGAATCCAAAATAATTACAATGGTCAATTCCATTGACCAAATTCTGTTCATTCATTTGGTTCAGTTTTTGAGTCTTGGTAGTTAGTACAGAATTCCAGTCCTGTATATGATGAAATTTAAATTTGCTTAGGTATTATTACAGAAATCTAAGTAATTTTCATATGTTATTTTTTGAGAAAAACCATTATGCTATCATATTTACTTTCTTCCACTTTTTGAGAAAGACTGTTATACCATCATATATACTCGCATCCGTTTATCCCACTACGATGGTCATCCCCAGCATTGTCGCCATCATCGCCCCACCACCACCAGCATTATCGCCATCATCGGCCCATCACCACCACCACCACGACCACCATCGTCGTTGTCACCACCATCATCGTCGTGGTTGTCGCCACCACCACCACCGTCGTGGTTGTCGCCACCACCACCACCGTCATTGCCACCCCCATCACCAGTTAACATTATTAGTAATTTTATCATTATATAGTATTTGTAATCTAAGAAATAAAATATGAAAAGGGGTATTTTGATCCTTTATCATTAATTTATTACAGTTATGATCTGTAATGAACTAAACAAACAAACTATAATCTATTTAAGAGATTTCATTTCAATTCCTACCAAACAAACACATAATTAAACCTGATTAAATTTCATTCCAATTTATTCAAATTTTAATTCCGTTGATAGATTTCATTCATCGGTATCCTTATTAATTGCGTTACAAATAACAATCTTTAGTAAACGATCATAAAGTTCGAGGACCAAAGTGAAAGCGTGATTTAGCACAAGTTGCGGATTTCATACGCAAATACAAAAAAGTTTTAACTTGACCGGTTTCTTGATCGACACGTTATAGAAATCATCAAATATACGACGTCTTATAAAGTAGACTCTTTATACGTCGCTAGTAGTGGCTTAAGAGATAAAGTCAGTGCCTATGAACTTTCCAGTAGGTCGTTACACTTCCTTCTTATGAAACTTGAAGAATGTAAAGGCATACTTTATTTTTTCACATTTTATATAATCAAATATCGTGATCTGTTACAAAGCAATATGCTAGTCTGTAATAAGCTCAATGTTGTAAACTACCCTCTGCAGTTTTCAATATTATTACTTCAAACCATAAGGGTGGTGTCTGATTGGTTTGAGCTTGACTCCAAAGGTCAAAAGTACCACGAGGTCCCAGGTTCAAATCCAAGGAGGATTAAAAATCCCCTTATGGTCACGGAGGTTCAAATGCGGTGACTCCTATCTGCAAAGCAGATGGTCGCCCTGGGATTAGTTGGCTCGCATAACGGGTTGGATATCCAGATTAATCAAAAAAAAATTATTACTTCATAGGAATCAAAATAGTATCAATGTATATAAAAGCTTTCTCAAATTCAGTTCAATACTGGATAAAATTAAAACAGAGTGAAGTACATAATTTTACAGCTTAGGGCTTCGGCGAAACCAAAAATTATTTGAATTCTTACACTGTATACTCAAGTCTTTTCATTATGAAGGAAATGGAGGAAAAGGAAAGGAAAAAAGACGGGAGAAGGAAAAGCTATAATGTTCTCCGTTTTCCTACAAAAAAAACTAAAGCAGATTTGTCTTCCAAAACTGTCCCCCCAGATATCGGAGGATCTGAAATGAAAATAAAAGAAAGAAACAAAAACAATGAAAAATAATAATAAAATTATATATCTACGTATTAATTACAACTTGGTAAACTTAATAAGGGTATATTTGTAAAATTGACAGCTTTTATTTCCTTTCTCTCATGCTAAAAAACATGAAATTTGTTTATATTTTCTTCTATTTCCTTTCTTTCCCTTCGTTGTCAAGAGTACAAATAGTTTTTTCCTTTCTATTTCTTTTTTAAATTCAAGAACACAACGTTAATGCTCGATAACCACTTGGTTCACACAACCTTGATGTTTGCTCATTTCATCCAAGGATTGGGTTCACATGAGACACGATTTTTACGCTTGAAACTTCACAACAAAATGTTGTGAAGGTAAAAAGAAGCCGAATCTTCACAGCAAAAACACTGTGGAGGTTTTACCTCAACAGTGTTTTGCTATGAAGTTTCAAGTGTAAAAATCATGTCTCACGAAAACAACATGATATATATTTTGGATAGTTTATTAGATAATTATCTATCTTCTTAAAATCTCATATCTCAGTTTTTTCTCTCAATCATATGAATACATATAATTAAAAAATATGAATATAAATTAAATAAATTTATATTTGCTAAGGATATGATATCCTTACACAATTGATGGAACAAGATTAATACAGATAATTTGAGATAGACGATTTTTGCCCCTATTGAAGTAAGAAAACCCCGCAAAATATCCATTTTAGAAATTATATTGGAGATGCTCATTAAATATTTATAATTAATTTTAGAGTAAATTACATGTTTCGTCTTCGTGGCAAGCTGTTTTTTGACGTTCATTATCCATTTTTGAAAATTCAATGAAATGTATTCTTGTGGTTGCGTGTTTTAACGAGAACGAGATGGGTCTTTGTACTGTGGTTACCATTTTATAGTGAGTTCGTTCTTTAAGTTATAATTTTCAAAATAAACCATATAGACATAATCCGTTAAATTTACTTAAAAAAGACAATGACCGTTAAAAACATACTCATCGTAGAGATCAAACGTGTAATTCCCTTTAAATTTTATAGATGTATTAAATTAAGTAAAGTTAAAGTACAACTAAGAGGGTTTGGTTCACGTGAGACAAAGTTGTTTTTGTGAATTGTGAGACACGTGAGACACGATTTTTATACTTGAAACTTCATAGCAAAACGTTGTGAAGGTTAAAAAAAAATGACTCTTCACAATAAAAATATTATGAAAGTTACCTTCACAGTGAAGTTTCAAATATAAAAATCATGTCTCACAATCCCACGTGATACTAAGTAACGACTAACAATTATATTTTTCTTGGAGAAAGAAGGGTATAAATTCAACAAAATATGTCAAATTTCTAAAGAAAAAAAAGGTAACAATCTAGACCCATGGAGGATCTGAATCAACCAACCACCACCACCGCACCCCTGCCGGAGAAAGTTCCTCCGGCAGCCAAGAAAAACCTCTTAATCCTCCATTGTATCCTGTTATCCATTGGAAACTGCGGTGGCCCATTAATCCTCCGGCTTTACTTCATCCACCGTGGCCACCGCATCTGGCTGATCACCATCATTCAGACCGTCGGGTGGCCGTTCATCCTCATCATCCTGATAATTCTCTACTTCCACCGCCATCGTGCTGCCGGAATTATCAACAACCGCCCAACAACCTTCATTTACATGCGGCGGCGACTGTTCTTCGCGGTGGCATTCATCGGAGTTCTCACCGGCATCGACAACTACCTCTACTCCTATGGCATCGCCCATCTTCCTATCTCCACCTACGCCCTCATCAACGCCACCAGACTGGTTTTCATGGCGGTCTTCGCCTTCATTCTCGTGAAACAGAAGTTCACGGCGTATTCTATCAACGCGGTGGTGCTTCTCACCGTCGGCTCGGCGGTGCTGGCATTGCAGAGTCGCGATGACCGCCCTAGTGGGGAGAAGAAACTGGAGTATGTTATGGGGTTTGTAATGACGGTGGCGGCGGCTGCTTTGTACGGACTGGTGTCGCCGTTGGTGGAGGTGACGTACAACAAGGCAAAGCAGGTGATCACGTATACACTTGTGCTGGAGGTTCAGATGATGATGTGTCTTTTTGCCACTGTATTTTGTACAGTTGGAATGATCTTCAACAATGATTTTAAGGTATTAAATCATAATTAATAAATTAAAATTTAAAAATATAAAAAAAATAAGAAAATTGTAAAAAAAAAAAAAAAAACCCTAAATCAGTTTTAACGTTCCCAAACCCTCACACCCAACGGTATTGCGCCCCCTCACTACACCATTCTTGTCCGTTCTCCGTATTGTCCATCATCACTGTTAGTCCGTGCTATCGTTCTCCCAATTTTTTGATCCATCTGTGCGTTGATTTTGAATTTAAAAAACAAATCAAGAAAGAGGGAGAATCAATAAATAAAAACAAATAAAATAAAAAGAGATCGATGGCAGGGGCGGATGATGGTGATTGGTGATGATAGAGAGTAGGCAACCTGAGGTAGCTAGGGGTGCTCATGTGTTGGGTTGATCGGGTTGAAGACATTTGAACAACTCAATCCAATGCTTGCGGTTTGGAAAAATCTTAACTCAACCCAACCTAAACCAAACCAAAATGCAACCCAACCCAACCCGTACGGGTTGGTCGGGTTGATACTTTGATATATTAAAATATTTTTCAAACCTTGGATATGTTATTTTCCTACTCATAATTTCTTTTTCATCATCAACCATTTGATACGACTTATCCATATATCTTACGTATATCACATTTAATTAATTTTCTCAATTTACATATATATGTTCATAGTTATTGAACATATATATGAATGAATTATATAGAGATGTGAATAGATTGAAAATATATGCATATGAAAAACATACATGATAGTGTAATTGTCTAATGTATATATTAATAGAAATTCAACAATCATATTAAATTCAAGAAATAAAAAGATATCGGGTTTATCGAGTTGGGTTGGGTTCAAATAATAGTAACCCAATATCAACCAAATACCTACGGTTTGACAATTTTACAACTCGATTAGACATCGGGTTGCTTCGGGTTAGGTTATTTCGTGTTGGGTTGGGTTGATCGGGTTTTTGAGCACCCCTAGAGGTAGCGAGGGGTTTGAATGACCTAGGGTTTTGAGAACCGTAAAACTGATTTAGTTTTTTTTTTTTGTATTTTAAACCCTTTCTGGCCGACTACAAGTAACTTTTTAGGTTAAAATGATATCAGTAACCAATTTCAAAAACTTTGATGGTTTATTTCTTCCAAAAAAATATTTAAAAACTTGATCATTCAAAATGATAAAGTTCAGTGATTTTTTTATTTTAAAAAAAATTCAGAGGCTAAAAATCAATTAAAATGGGATAATTTGTTGGGTTTATGCATTTTTCCGGGAAAAAATAAATACTCGACTTATTTATTTTGACAATAATAACATTAAAAATATATTATTAAAATATTTAATATATCTAATTGAAAAATTATTTCACTCCAATTAACATCTGATATCACAATTCTTATCATTGAGAATTATCAAAAAAATCATTTTCTTCTTTTTGAACAATCATTTTCTGAAAGTTTTTCATTTGTCGTAGCGGTATGTGGGTCTTTGCTCTCTTAGAAGGTCAAAGATTCAAACCTCATTAAAAGTGGAAAGGGGATGTGAGTTTATTTGTTCTATTTGTCATATATAATATTATATACTTCAAAAAAAAGGTTATACGAATTATTTCCAAATTTTTGTAAATTGATTTTTAGGGTTTCTGAAAAGGTAAAATTGCAAAGGAAATTTATTTTCTTAAGATGAAATAAATTTAAATAATCTATTATTATTGTATTCAGTATTTGATACACAGTAAAAAGACTGTTTTATTTTAAGTTAATTCAATATTATATTGTTGGATTTTTATTCCGATTATTTATATTACAGGTGATTTCAAGGGAAGCAGAAGATTTTGGAGTAGGAAAAATTAAATATTATGTAATTTTAAGTGTAAGCGTTGTGTTATGGCAGTGTTTTTTCTTGGGCGCGATAGGAGTGATCTTTTATGGGTCGTCGTTACTGTTAGGAGTCATAGTCACTATCCAAATTCCAGTGACTGAGATACTGGCCGTGATTTTCTACAACGAGAAGTTCAAAACCGAAAAAGGTGTTGCTCTTGTTCTCTCTCTCTGGGGATTCATTTCTTATTTCTATGGCGAGTATAAATACATGAAACCAGTAAAAGATGATGCACAATCTGTTCGTGAAGTAGTGTAGTGTTATTACTGTTCTTCTTTCGTATGATTGTGGTCGTTATCGTATTTATTATTATATAATTCGCGTAGTTTTGAAATTCATCAAATTTACGACGTTCTAACCACCCCACTTTGCTCTTTTAGATAATCGTATGTATCTGTGCCAACTTGTGCACATCTCGACTGTGCTCATGCAATTCAAAGTTAATATCCTGACAAATTTTTAGTTCTATAAGACCCTCGGATTTGTACAATTTCACAACAACTTTGCGATACGGCAAAATTGATATATTTACATAAAGTTGTTAAAATAAAGTTGACAATCTAACAAATTCTATCTTTACATAAAAAATAAGGTTGTCTGTAGGACCGTCCCTTAGCATGTTAAATGTGAGATTTTGAACAGGGCCTCCAAAATTTTGGGGCCCAAATTTACATGTGTTTAAGGCTTTTTATCGACATGTGTAAAACTATAGCCAAAATTATTTAAGTTCAAACCATTAATCGTTTGGTTTAGGTTCAAATCATTAATGATTTAGGTTTAGCTTCAGATTGTTAATCGTTTTAGGTTTAACCCATCTTTGTTTTTAATATATATTCTCTATTATCTCATTTATGCAATATAATCAAAAGTTTTGGATGTAGTTGGACCTCCAAAAATATTGGAACGTCCCTGGTTGTCTGCACGAATTTAAACAACCAAACCACACTCAAAAAATAATTCATTATATCAGTTTATTTTATGAAGACTTCTTAAAAATCTCCAAGTTATAACTTTTTTTAAAATAATGCATCAAAAATAAAATATTTAAAGAAATTTATATGCAATTCTAACAGCTACTCTATTTTAACAAAATACAATTAATTATATTATTAGTACATTTTCTTAATTCATTATTCTAATATGTCTTAAAATAATTTATAACAAATTATAACACATTCAACTTTATTCATAGAAGCAGTTAAATTAATATATTTTTCTCATCAGTTATAAGTTTTAGTTTCTTCAAATTTGGAGATTTCTACCTTTTCTCTTTTATTTCCTCTATTTCAACATACACTTTAGGTATGCAAATCATTACGGGTGCAAAAAAAAACCCTGACCAAATCATCAACCTGCCTGACCTGACCCAAAAACTAGACCTAAAAACCTAACCCGATCCAACTCGAGGTTTCAATTTATAAATTAGACAAACCGATGAGAGTTGGGTAGATTATGGGTTATCTTTTATGTCTGATTCTTTGAGAGATAGGGTCATTTAAACTGATTGTTTTTTTTTTAATTTTTCAAAAACACTTATGTCTTATCGTCCTCTTATTTGGTAAGAGGTAAACCAACCTCTTATTTGCTTCTTATTGTTCTCCAGACCCTCAGCAATGATGTTTCTCAATCAATTAACCTTAATCGATCTTTTTTGTCAATCGATCATCACCTCTCTTAGTTGATGTATTTTAATATGATTCAAATGTGTTAAATACCGTGAATGACACATTTTTGTTTAAATGAATGTTAATTATATAATTTAAATGTAAATTTCGTAATGATAATGAATAAATATGTTAAATTGTGTAAATTTATCTATAAATTCAACGTTATAATTTTCTGATGGGTAAAATAGACAAGTTAAACAGATTCAGAAATTTATCATTTTACAAAAACAAACATTCTTATTGATTCTGTTTTCAAACTTCAACACCACCTCGTATCAATCAGAAGTGAAATAAAACTTCATACTTTAGCACATTTCAAGAAACAAACATCACCTAAATGTTTAGTACAGTGTTCCAAGTCAAATACGTATTTTGTATTGTTTTTTCTAATATATATATATATATATATATATATCGACTAAGTAACGCTATTCCAAAGAGTGAAAAACGAAAACCCGTGTTTGTTAATTAATAGTGTCATTTTAATTCAACATTCTTATCGTAATATGTATCTTGACACTTGTATCTAAATATATAGAAAATAGACATAAAATTTAATGACGGCAACATTTTCTCGTCCACTAATATTTACTTTTTTTGGTTTAATATAGTAACCCAATAGTATTTTTAAACATATGTTCAAACCGCACAATCTGAAACCGCAATGGTTGGAGTTGCGTTATAAATTAAAGAAAGTTGAACGGGTTGTGATTTTTCAAACCGAAATAGTTGAACCGGGTTGTTCAAATGGTCTCAATCTGCTCAACCCAACCCATATATATCCCTGTAAATCATCAGTTCCTTTTTCTCTGTCCCAATACGGTCCAACGAATCAAGTATTTACACGTCATCATTAAGAAGAGATAGTGCAATTTAAACAACTAACCATCATTACCTATATAAAATAATTATTAAAAAGATAATGATGTGTAGATATTCAACTGATGGATTGCATTGAAACAATTAAAATTAGGACAAATCGTTTTACTTTAGAAACCAGTAGATTAAAGGAAAGAGCACTGCAAACAGTAGAAAAACAAAGATTCCAAAGGGAAATAAAAGCGAGTAAACAAACAGTAGCGACCCCGAAAAACAAGAGGAAGAAACAAAAGGAAAACCAAACTGAAAGAAGGGTAGATCGCAGCAGCAGTTGGAGAAACAGTACAAGAGTTCCAAGATTTATAAAAAGACTTGCACCTTAGAGATATCTAACCAAACGATCGGGATCGAATTTCGCCAAAAAGGTTATTGCTCAAAACAACATCTTTGAAGAGATGGAAGTTTCCTTTTCTCCAAAGAAAGTACGGTGCGATCCAAATTACAGCTAGCGAAATACGTTTTGAAAAAACTCGCAAAATGGCTACCTCCATGGAAGAAAATCAGCTCCGATAAAGAAAATGGGATGAAATCCTCCAAGTTCCACCATTTGAAGACGTTTTTCCATAACTCCTTAGCAAATTTGCAACCAAGAAGACAATACTTCACTGATTCGATGAAATCATTACACATCGGACATGTACGGAGTTGAGTTCAGATCGATTTCTTGATTTGCAAAAAAGAAACTTCAAACTCTATACTTTAACATAGTTGTTGAAGATGCTCTTAATTTTTTTTATAAAAACATTATAATTTTTTTTTTGAGAATTTGGACAATTTTTTTTTTGTTTTAACAGATTTTTTAAAATTGAGAAAGTTGGATAAATAGTGTAGAATTTTCTCTCTCTGAAAAACTCTAAAAAATATTACTATAATAAGGAAACAATGTTTTATTATATTTCACTAATAAAAAATAATAAAATTAAATGGTTAGAAAAATAAATAATATTTTG